GTCAGACTGAGGACCATGGCCTCAGATGTGGAGGTGCCGATCCTCATCTCAGCTGCTTCACACTCTGCTGCGAACCACTCCAGTACGAGCTGAAGATCACGGCACGATGACGCCAACAGGACCACATCATCCGAGTCAACAAACCGTCTGAACTTTTAACTCTTCACATGATTTACAGCGAAACCTATGAACAGCTGACGATCAGATCCACCTCGTTAATGTCAGCCGGTGCTAACAGATCACAGTCAGGTGACCTCCACAAGACAAAACGTCACACCGTGTGTCTCTGCTGGTCTTATCCAGTTGAGTGGAAACAACTATGAGCTGAGGCCAGTGCTCCTTGAAGAAATGCCGCCTCGCACACCAAAGCTTCAAACAGACATTTGGGTGATCCGGTGGCGCTCAAACTAGTATGTGTGGAACGACTCTCAAACACTACGCCATCAAACAAAATGAGTATCTGTAAAACAATGTGTTACAGAAGGTCAACTAGCTGTGGCAGCCATCTTGAATAACGTCTGCTAACAGACACATGAGCTGTTTTATGATCTCCTCCTAAGATGCGGTCATCTGAATCGACTGCGGTCATAAGAAGATGTAAAACCCACAACATGTCCGTCCGCTTCAGAACCTCCTTTGTTCGGTTCCAGAGCAGTTTTTTGCTGCACAGTTTGGCCCTGGCTTGTAATAATGGGTTGATTGTAATGTTACGGTTGATCTGACTGGAAACATGGTTTTACCGAGGCTTCCTAATGGCCTCAGACTGTTAAGTAATGCAGCCTGTAGATGTTTTGTCATACTTTATTAGTTCAATTAGCCAGCCATGCTTCTGGAGAGGCCTCCTGTTGAGATTCAGTGCCGCAGATTTTCTCTTCGTCGTGCAGAAGGCCCCCGGGTGCTGCTGACACCAAACAAACTGCTGACTCTGGGTGGGGTGGGGGGTATAACCCAATAAAACTTTAGATAGTTGCCTGCATGTAAAACTTTTAATAGACTGATGAATGAATAAATACACTTTATTACGCTCTCATCAGGGGCATTTATATAATCTAGCTTTGCATAATATGATAAAATCATTTTATGGAAAACAAGTTTGTACGCCAGCTTTTATTTTCCTGATTTTAACCTTTAATTTAAAAAATAAAGTCTTTTTATAAGTAAGATGGTTATACAACTCTGAACTGTACTAATGGAGTTCCTAGCACATTATCTTTTCAACAACAAGCTGTTTTTGACTCATTAACTGTTTTTACTGTTACTGACGGAGTTGTAGTGTAGTGGAGTTTATGTGTTATCTGAAATAAAACCTGCTAATAATTGTTCAGGCTTAAGTTCGTGCACGGGACGAACAGTGCAGACTTGTTTTTATGTTTCTGCAGCATCAGGACACACGCTCACTCACACACAGAGATACACACACACATAGTTTATATCAATATCCAGAACACTTCCACTCAGGGTCGCACACACTCGGTCCTTTTGCTCTCCGTTTCGGCTGTGCGGCCTCGAAGCTTCGAAATAAAATCATTAAAAGACCGTTCTTCATTAGGAATGTTCATTTCACGTGTTTTCAGTATTTGTTGAACCATCTTTCCACAACAGTAGCTGTAAGAATAGGAAAATATTTTTATGCACTTGTACAATATTTATTATTTAACAGTCAAGTATGCACAGAACATATACACAGGAAATGCTTTTTGTAATAAAACATTATCGTATACGAAAAATATGAAACAATATGGAGAGAAGGTATTTTTTTTACAGAGCTGTCTTAAATAAAAGGTATTCATGTGAGTATGAGGACAGAAAATAGTTTAATTTGGCTTTAAGTTACTGTTCTCTTGGTCATACCATTTAGCAGCTGTTCTATTAGTTTTGGCTTTTAGCTACTCTTCTGTTGGTCTTATATTTTAGCTACTGCTCTGTTGTTTTTGGTGTTTAGCTACCATTATGTGGTTCTTGGCTTTTAGCTACTCTTCTATCCATCTTATATTTTAGCTACTCTTCTGTCCAGCTTGCATTTTAGCTATTGTTCTTTTGGTCTTGGCTTCAAGTTACTGTTATGTTGATCTTACTTTGAACTTTTAGCTACTGTTCTGTTGTTTTTCACGTTTAGCTACTATTATGTGGTTCTTGGCTTTTGGCTACACTTCTATTGGTCATACCTTTTAGCTACTGTTCTGTTGGAGTTAACTTTTTACTACTGTTCCTTTGGTCTTAGCTGTTAGCTACTTTTCTGTTGGAGTTATCCTTTAGCTACAGTTTTGATGCTTTTTGCTACTGTTCTCTTGATCGGTCCCTTTAGCTACTATTCTATTTGTTTACCTTTTAGCTTCTGCTCTATTGGTCTTGGCTTGTACCTACTCTTCTGTCGGTCTTATAATTTAGCTATTGTTCTGCTGTTTTTGGCATTTAGCTACTTACTTCTATGTGGTTCTAGGCTTTTAGCTACTCTTTTGCCCAAGTACATTTTAGCTACTCTTTTGTCCATCTTACATTTTAGCTACTGTTCTGTTGGTCTTAGCTTTAAGTTACTGTTATGTTGATCTTAACCATTAGCTACTGTTCTGTTGTTTTTGGTGTTTAGCTACTATTGTATGGTTCTTGGCTTTTGGCTACTGTTTTGCCCAAGTACATTTTAGCCACTTTTTTATCCATCTTACATTTTAGCTACTGTTCTGTTGGTCTTGGCTTGTACCTACTCTTCTGTCGGTCTTATAATTTAGCTATTGTTCTGCTGTTTTTGGCATTTAGCTACTTACTTCTATGTGGTTCTTGGCTTTTAGCTACTCTTTTGCCCAAGTACATTTTAGCCACTCTTTTGTCCATCTTACATTTTAGCTACTGTTCTGTTGGTCTTGGCCTTAAGTTACTATGTTGATCTTAACCATTAGCTACTGTTCTGTGGTTTTTGTTGTTTAGCTACTATTGTATGGTTCTTTGCTTTTGCTACTCTTTTGTTGCTCTTACCATTTAGCTACTGTTCTGTTGGATTTAGCTTTTTACTACGGTTCTTTTGGTCTTAGATGTTAGCTAATTTTCTGTCACATTTAGCCTTTAGCTAAAGTTCCAATGCTTTTTGCTACTGTTCTGTTGCTTTTAACTTTTATCTACTATTTTGTTGGTTTTTGTTTTTAGCTACTGCACTGTTGTTCTTATCTTTTAACTACTGTCATGTTGTTCATAGCTTTTAGCTACCGTTTTGCAGGTTTTAGCATTTAGCATGTTTTAGCTTTTGTGTTGCTAACTAGCCTTTGATCTAATTGATTTAACTCTAACATTACAGTTTCAACTTTTTTCCACCAGCTCTAGCTGTCGTTTAGCACTTTACACACGTTTATAAAAGGCCATTTTTTGTTTTTTATTTTGTCATGTTGCTCTGGTTTGTGTCTTTCTAAATAAAAAATGAGAACGTCCTCTGTTTTTAAATATGTTTTTTTTGCTTTAATTCCCCTTCATGCTCTTCATTGTTTATTTACTTTTAAATATACTATATATTTCTTTTATCCTGTTTGGGTTTTTCAGCAACTCTTGGCTTGGATACTTTTTAAATGTTATTTTTATTGTTTGTGTTAGGGTGATGTGTTGCTGAAATCAGATTATTTCTTAACAACTTGAAGACAGACGGGTTGGTGGTTTTCTCCACTTCAAACTGCTGTTTGTTTGTAATACATTTTAATTAGTAAAGCTCTGAGTAAAAGCTTCATGTCCGTTAGAACATCGGCTTTAGTCGTCTTGTGGAGCAAAGCCTCCTAAACCAACATGACGGGTCTGTAAGCCTCTGAACGTCCCGTCAGGGCTGGATTATTAATCATTCAGATAAATCCGATTTGTGGCCTAGAAGATGATATACATCTGAGCATATGCAGGCGCTGGATTATTGATTCAGCTTTGGCTTTAAGCGACCCACAAGACAAAGTCAGTGAGATGTTATGAGCTATGGACAACTGGCAGATGTGTTTAAGCCTCTGTCAGGCTTTTTGAAACTTTTTCTCCTTTTCATTCAAATCTGTTTCCGACAAGAATCCTTCAGTGTTTTATCTTTAAATTTAAACTTTTGTTGCTCACTAGATCAGTTAAACCTCACCTATTCATTGTGCCTGTACTTCAACATGGTTCTTTCAAATTTATTCTAAAATTCTGCTTTTTTTCAATTAATATTGTTTATCTACAGCAGTCAACAGAGCTCTTTAATTGACATCTGTGGATACTTTAAAAAAAAAAAACACCAAGATTCTCGATACAGTAGATGAGAAACAACAAGGAGCAAGAGTGCCAAGGACAACAGTTAACTCTAATACAATAATTTCAGTTTTGTTTTTGTTCAGGGTCAGACAGTTATGATTGAACCGACCTCTGACATCTTGTAGACAGTTAAACAGAGGGTGCAGTGAGGCAGAGACATCCATTTTAAAAGGAACATATATTTGGATGTTATCAGCATAACAACAAAATGAAATGTCATACTTTCTAAATATAGCTCTCAAAGGCAGTGTTTGTAAATAAAACAGAATTGGGCCCAAAATGGACCCTTGAGGCACTCCACAAGAAATTGATGCAGAGAATGAGGAGTATTTTCCCAACGACACAGAAAAAACATCAGTGAGCTAAATAAGACTTAAACCATGACAGAACTGAGAAGGAACTAGAAGGCATAACCACATCACTCCAGTTTTAGCACACTTCATATTAATTTTAAGATTCTTTTTTTAACTTTTAAAGTTTTGAACAGCTTGGCATCCAAGTATTTAACTTCTTGTCTTTTTATCAATTTTTTGAGGTTGTGTTGTTTTCTTGTTTTTAGCTTGTTTGATTGTACTTGTTGTTTTTTGTGTAATTTAAAAAAATATATTTTAATGATGGCATGAAGACGTGGCAAATCATTAAGGATGTCGAGTTTGTAGTAAAAAGCAGACATTTTGTTTCAGCATCAATGAAAAAGCCTCATATTGAGCTGTTTTTTGTCCAGGAAGCCTAAGTGATAGGTGTTTCCAGGTATGATGACGTGGTCTTCTTCTTTGTGTCGACAGAACAACACATCATGGAGGCCCGAGTCGTGTCAGGAGTGCAGCTGCTTCAGCGACGTGCCCATCTGCAGGCCCGTCCAATGCCCCAACCCTCGCTGTGACTTCCAGAAGGTGAGTCAACGAGCTGCTTTCATCCATTTTCTTTACCAGCTTCTCTTTTCCGAGTCCTGGGGAGCTTCTGCCTAGAATTTAGGTTCGGAAAAATAATTTGACCCCTGAAGATTGGCCAGCTTTGACCAGGCTGATGAGGTGTGATGAGAAGTTTTTACCTGATGGTCTGGTGTTGGAAAACAAAAAGAAACGGACATTTGAGTCCAACAGAATCAGAATAAGCTTTATCATTGCACCGAAGTACAGAGAGTTTATATTCTGTACAGTCGTCCGAAAAGATGGGCGGGGTGCACGTGGCTGCAGCTTCTAGGAGCGCAGCCCTTTATTCTTTAGATAGAAAAGGGGAAAGACCATGAGGAAAGGATAGTGGTATTAAAAAAATATATCTCTTCACACCATGTCCTTGTCAGGACATGATTTAAGACATCAAAAAACTACCAGCAGCACATTTATAGTAAGTAAGTAAAACTTTATTTATATAGTGCTTCTCAAGATAAAAATCACAAAGTGCTTTGACAAACAAAATAAAAAAAGTGCACAAAACAAATTTAAGCAAAGGCAGATTTAAAAAGATGAGTTTTTAGCCTTTTTTTTTAAATTATAGACACATTACTGCATTTGACAATGAGACGGTGAGATTTGTCCATGAAGCACTTCCAGATAGCGCCATAGTCCTGATAAGATGTTGATGTCAGCCAGTACAGCTCTGATTAGTGTGTGTGTGTGTGTGTGTGTGGGGGGGGGGGGGGTAGAGCAGAGCGTTCTTAGTTTACACACATCCCAGGAGAAATTTGATAAGTTGGTCTGCTTCAAGGCCGAACGGGGAAGTCCGATTCAGATAAACAACAGTTGTTTTTTCCTCGTCAGCCTTGAGTTCTGCTGGTACTCTCGATGATCCAAAAAGGCCAGATTTGTGGGCTTTCTGCTGGTTCGTGCTTGTTAGCGACCTCTAAAGTCATCTCCAACATGCTGGCAAGTTCCATAAGCTGCTAGTGGCCTACGATTCTCATAAATCACTTCCATCTTACGCTTGAGCTCGTAAATCAGCTGAGTCTGAGAGTTAGAAGCACAAATTAATCCTTCACATAAGGTCGGCAGCTTTGCCATGGCCGAAACTGCTGCCGCCATCTTTCTCAATAGTTGATAACACAAGTATCTGTTGGTGCCAAAAAGCAGAAACCCTGCTATCATTAATCCATTGATGTATAAATCTTCGACATCCTCCTGAGACAACACAGAAAGTTACATCATCTTCCACTCCCCCCACGGATCCATGACGTACCCCGCCACGTGCATCACAGCAGAGCACGAGGTTCTCCAGCACCCCGTCGCTTGGTTGAAAAAATGTTATCAATTGCGTTGAAAGTCCAGCTGACCAAATCCATAACAGTAATTTACGATTCGGACGATGTGTACATAGAAGCACAGGACAGAGAGCAAAAAGCAGGAGGGAGGCAGGATAGGGAAGGAAAAGCATCCGACTTGCTCGAGAGCGAGTAAAACAAGGATTCACAGAATTGACTGTAGAGATGTTTTACTCCTCTCAGTGGCAGCTGTTCAGTCGTTCTGGTTCATTCTTCTGTTTCGGCTCTGTGAAATTCCTAGAAACACATTTTAAATGCTCTTTTTCCTTTTACACCATCTGCACATCTTTACTTATTCACGTTTCTTCATGAATGTGGTTTTAAACATTAAGCCCGCGGTGACGCCTTCAAATCCAGTTCCCACGCTCCGTCAAGGCAACAATCGACGTCTAATGAATTTCACTCTGCCGGCTCGCATTCTGACGTTAATTAAAAATTAGTCATCGCGCTCAGCAACCCGTGTGCTCTGTTTTATTTAAAACACTTTTAAAATGTGGCCCCCTGTCGTGTACACTGGTAAAATATTAAACAACAGATTATATCATCAGTCTCGATTAGCTTTCTTTTAAAGTCGGGTGCCTTTCTTTTCAGCCGATCTTTCTGAAACGCATCGACAGAATTTTATGTTTCACGCTGGTTTAATAATCCTCCATTTATGTGCATCTCTACAGGTCTGCTCTTTATCATCTTAAAGTTTTGTGCTCCATCATCTTTTATCATTAATTACCAAATACGATATTAAAGATTAGTTGCCCCTCCAAATAACTACATAAAAATAACTAATAATAATAAATATGACTGTAGGAATCAGAAGGTCCAGGACATATTCAGCTCATGAACTCATACCAAGAATTAAAATTATTCATCAGTCTGATTCAGAACTCGGGTCGCTCGCTTAGGGTATCGGATCAGGTCCTACTCGGACCTGCCGGGATGCTCTTAAGTTCAGGATTAAAAAAAAGAGAATTGTTAAAAACAAAAAGTCTCATTTGTTTTTGGATGTTTGCTAATTGCAGTCTTTTATTTAATGCTTTCCATCCAGCAGTGATGTTTTCCAAGTCCAATATTTTAGTTATTTAATAAATTATTTTTCATATTTAGCAATTTTTAAAGATCTTACCTATTTACTTCCCTGTGCGCAGCAGTTCACAAGTAAAATCACAACTTTATCCAACACCTTTTGAATGATAAAAGAAATAAAGAAACTTCCCACGTTTTTAAACAAATAAATTAAAAGTTGTCACAGTTAACAGAAACTGATTAGAAAAATTTTGGCTTTTGAGCAAATTTCACTGACGTTTCCTGTTTTAGCATCTTACGTTCTTCACTGAGACCCTTTAAATAAGTATGGTCAACCTTTTGGTACTTTTTAAGGTGGTGTCTCACGGAGCTGCGACTGTCGGAGAGTAGTCGCCAAACTTGCATTTGTGAGCGTCTCCAGAACGTCTCAAAACTTTTCCGTGGTTCCAAATGTCTCCTGTTGTGTCCCAGATGCTCGTAGACTTAACTCTTGAATATTCAAAAGATTTGTTCGACAAATGTCTCAAAATAGTCACAGAGTCGATCGCACTGGTCTCGAACACATCTCAATGTAGTTTCTGTCAGCGTGTGTTCAGAATGGTCTGTAGCAGCTCCGGAGAAGTCATCTATTGCTCAACTAAAAGGTTTATTTTACGCACATGTAAAATACAAAATTCAATTCAAACACACCACGAGGCTGCGTCTTTCAAAATGGCATCGAGGGGTGACAACAGCTTTTCTTCAACACTGGCCACGCCTCCAGGAAGTGGTTGTCATCAGGGAAGCCTCTACCCTCATCATGTGACCAGTGCTCTGACAGAAGCCCCTGTCACTGCACGATCTGTTCCGATCCGTTCCCCAGCCCTGTGCATGTGCTAAAAGGAATACTTCCGGGTCGCACGGATTGCCATTGATTATGCCAAATTACGGAAAATGTACTGGAAGTAATTACTTCCAGCCTAAGGTGTGCTAAATTATATCCTGTAAGCTCATTTAATACAACGCATATTTGATATTAATAAATATATTTATGAAACATACCATATTTGTCAATATTAATTAAAATATCTTGTTCTATAAATTGATTAATTTTCCTAGACAATTCCATTTATGAATAAGAACTGTCTTAATTTACTTAGGAAAGGTGAAAATGATATGCGGCGCATATTTATGGTGATGTAGCGCAGCTGCACCGCTGAGCGGCGGCGCTACATCACCACGGAAATAATTTATTCTGTATCTCGCAGGGTTTTCTCGTTCAGCCCAGGCTGGAGGTCAGGTCACGTACTTTTCTAAGTAAATTAATACAGTTCTCATTCATAAACAGAATTATAACATTGTCTAGGAAAATTAATCGATTTACTGATATATATATTTTATATAATATTAATAAATGTTGCATGTTTCATAAATATGTTTTATTAATATCAAATATGTGTTGTATTAAATCAGCTCACTGGATATAATTTAGCACACCTTAGGCTGGAAGTATTATTTCCAGTACATTTTCCTTAATCGAGCATATTCAACAGCGATCCGGAAGTATTCCTTTTAGCGCGTGCCCAAATGAGCGGACGGTGCGGATCGTGCTTCCGGAACAGACCGTGCAGTGACAGCCCCAACGTTATTAAAAAAAAATGTCTCAAAACTGGCGTTTTGTCTGTTGTGAGAAAGGCAGGCGTGCAACCAAGAACTTCTTCCTACCAGAAACAAAACTTCTTCGGTACAGAAACTCTGCTTTCTCTTCTAACGCATAAAATTGTGATATAAAATGCCATATAAAATACAAACAATACAAATAATCACACTTTAAAGTAAGATAATATATAGTAAGATAAAAATATATTTCATTTCCTTAAACTCTAAAGCTGTCTTTTGACACCTACGGCTCTTCCCTGATGCATAATTGTTGTAAAAAAAACAACAACGGCTTCAGATCAGCCAAACTTCTTTGTTTAAATTGCACCCTAGTGGATACAAGCTGCTAAAGTGGGTCGGATGTGAGCATCAAAATAATAAGCGTGGGCTCGAATACAGTTACATATAAACAGTTTGTCGTTTTCAAAAGCAAACCCAGCGCCTGGTCTCTTTTGTGTGGCAGACACCCAGACTTCTACCGGAAACGTGTCTTTCTTGCAGTTTAGATTCTCCAACTGTCGCAGCAAAGACCACCTTTAGACTGAAAACTCAAGGAGGACAACTGCCTCCACATTGTTCTGGTCGAGGTAGTTTTCTTTTGGTAAGAAACTCGACACAAAACGGTCAATTCGCAGTCAAATCTGGAAACACGGACTGAGATTACGAGAGAAACTTTCCGATTGTGAAACACTGCTTCTTCCCGTACCGCCGACATTTTATTTTTTGCTAAATCTTAAATCAAGTTTAATTCAAAACGTTGAGCTACGCAGACGCCAAAGCGTAACGTATAAAAATGTTCAGTGCTCAGTTTACCAATCCAAATAGGTGGCCGTAACTCGATTATCTTTTTGCTGTCAAATATTAATCAGAAGTGCTAAAATGAAAAGCCAATAAACACCTTCCGTCTGTCTGTATTAATGCTTCAGCTCACTTTTCTTTTGTCGTTTTGTTATTTCTGCTGCAGAATTTCTTTTCTTTTATTGTTCACATGCAGTTTGTCTCTTCCTCCATTTTCAATTAACACAATACATTTGCAGAATCTCTGGGAGGATGTTCTTCTCACCCTGAACAAATTGTATTCCTTCATTCTTCTTTTTTTAAATATATATATTTTTATAATCCAATACCATTTTTATTCAAATAAACCATGAACTCCTGACTGTCGCTGCTTTCTTATTTGCTTCCTGCCGCAGAGTCGGCCTCAGTTACCGTGCGGTACAGAAGAGAGCATTTTAAAACGTGTTGTTTTGTCTGCAGTATATTTGTGCTGCATGCATTTAAAATAGACTTTGTGTTTTTATTCTCATCAGCCCCTCGTGTCAGTTTCTGTGGAAATGAACCTGCTGTCTTCCTGACGGGTTGTGTTTTTATACATTTGTCCCCCCCCCACAGGGTGAATATTTGAGGATCCCTCCCAACGAGTGCTGTCCAGAGTGCATCTCCTCGTCGCACGACTCCTGCCTCCACCAAGGAGTTACATATGGAGTAAGTGCCTCACGATGCTCTTTATTTAATTTTATCCACTTTTCCAACTGATTGAAGCAGATGCAAAACAATAATTTAAAAGTTTAAATGAATAATAAAATAGAATATGATTAATAGGAAAGAATCACGCATAATGATATCATAATTACAATCACCATATATATATATATAACTTGTCTGCTCTGTTAAAACACCCCTCTGCTGTCGCTTTAATTCTGTCGAGGCAACACAATGGAGGAGCTCGTCTTCACAGCCTTTGGCCTCAATTTTCAACACCATTTATTCTGCTGAATTGGTGCTTCTCTAACAAACTCATATTTGGCATCAGACTGTAGCACAAAACCAGGCAGCACCGGCGAACTCGCCATTCTATCCACCGTGACATCATAATGAGACTGACCGCATTTTAAAGTAAAATAACTTCATTATTTGAAGGTTTAAATGGGATGAGGTTGAATTGTACAAAAGAGGAATTAATTTCATATTTTATGTCATCTTTTGCACATTTAATAGTAATGTTGCGAGTAGGGCGGTAACAGTTCGTGTACTCGAGCTGGACGGTCACGGTACAGACGTTACGGATAAATACCAGACGATGGATCACAAACCAAACTACGCCCAATTTCAACGCTGGTCTCTAAGGCCCTGTTTACACGGCAACAATCCAATGAAAACTGATTTTTTTTCCCATTTCTATTAACACATTTACATGAAAACGTTCTAATTACAATCTCTGTTTACACAGCAACGGTAGACGTGGAAAAGGTGTAATTCCCCCTCCACGCCACTAGTTGGTGCTATGTTCTTTGAGACTTGAAACTCTAAGCCATATGTGTCAAACTCAAGGCCCAGGGGCCAAATGCAAATGTGACATCTTGTCTGGCCCCCAAGATGATTTGTGAAACGGAAAATACTTCTATCTCTTGACTTTTTTCAGTAATCTTGAATTATGATGTGGAAAGCACAACAGAGAACATCAAATGAGACCAGTCAAACTCTTGCTGAGGAACCTGTGACCAAGAAAAGACGTTGGGTATTTGATTTGAGTTAATGTAATTTCTGAAACTGGCTCTTAGTTTGAAAAAGGTTTTAATTTTGGCCCCTTTTGTAAGTGAGTTTGACACCCCTGCTCTGAGCGTTCATGCGTAAAAAAATGACGTTCTACCTTAAAGAAGCTACAACAGTCGAGATGGCAGAGAATAAAATATTTCCATGTACAGACGATGAGGTTCAACTGTTGCTTAGTGAGAGATACTTTATTGTCATTCGCACCTCATGTGGTGGAGCGAAATTATGTACACAGGGTCCCAGTTACATCCAACAATAAAAAGTATAAGAAAAACAGTGATAGCATCTAAGATATGAACTCAGAAAAACATCAACTAAATATACACTAAGCACTCATAACATTAAAAACATCACGTCGAACAGCAGCACAAACACGAGAGTGACTTTGAATTATAAAATCACCAAATTTCAAGAGAGCATTGACTAGGAATCATGCCAGCCCGTTGTCGATAGGTTCTTCTTCTGTGGATTGTAGGAAGCTGTTATGTTTTGCGTCATAAAGCGCAAGAACCAGGGATTCCCAGTAAAGATTTATTTTTTCTGTTTACACGACAACGGACACCGGGACGTTTTTGAACCATTGCGCTCAGGAACCTGTTCTCAAATTGTGCCGTTGTCAGAGGAAACATTTGCTATTTTCATGTAAATGGACAGCACAACTGCAATCAATGTCTTCCATTTTCACCAGAAACCGTATTTGTGTAAACAGGGCCTGTTACATAAAACACAGGAAGTGGCTCGTTTTCGTATGTTCATTAATCCAATGCTTCATTTAACCTTTTTTTTTTTTTTTTAATCCAGCTTTAAGTGTTCCATATGTTAATACAGTGCAACAAAACCACAATGCAGAAGTCCTGTCAGATGACAGGAATTCATTCTTCTTCATGAACGTAGCCTAATTTTCTATGTTTTTTGATCCTGAATTGGATTTATCTGCTCTTAAAACCAGCTTGTTGTATTATTTATTTATTTATTTATTATTATTTAGAGTGAAAAGGTCTTAAATTGAATTGACTGAAACTTGAAACATAGTGTGGAGCCTAAGTCTTTGTGTTGTCTCAGAAGGAGACACAAACACCTTTTAGTTTAACAGAAGTACAAATTGTATCACTGTTTTATTTGTGTTTAGAATGAACAGTGTTTCTGCTGAAGTCCCCACTTCTCCCCGATTGCAAAACATCTGGTTTTAATGTTAATATGCATGGATCAGTTTTATTTATTTAAACATATTTCTCTAAATCCCGTTTCTTAAGGCCCACAGATGATTTTAAACAATATTTCAGGACCAGCCGTGCTGCAGAGGTTTCTGTTTGACTTCTCTTTATTTCAGTGTGACACTGCCCTCAGGCATTAAAAAAAAAACTGTTCACAAAGAATTGGTTTCTGGGTCGGCACAAAGTCCTGATCCCAGTTTCATTCGATACGTTTGGGATGAACTGAGAGGTTAAACGTGAGGATCGGTGTTAAAAGCTGGGCGCCGTCGCTGAATTTTAAAATGTGAAGAAAAGGAATAAAACCTGGAAGTGCAACTGCACCGCTTTGAAAAGTGTTGTTCAGCATTAACCGTCACTGCAGTGGTGCTATATAATGTTTCTACTTGTCCATTTGGCATTGTAGAATGTTCCATTTGCAGAAATTAAGGTAATAAGGATCATAATTACTATTTAAAACCAGAGATTTACTGGAAGAAACGGTTTTAAAATGACCAACATTAACCAAGATGTCATTTAATTTATTTAACTGGAAAGAAAAGTTTTTAATGTTGATCTATAAAGAGATATAGTAGGACCCAGGACACGAGGAGCTTAATAAAAAAATGAAGGATCGATTAAAGAAATAAAACTTGGTTGACGGGGCTGCGGTAATTACAAAACCTCGAGGAGACACGGAGGAGAACCAGACAGGGCATGATAAACAATGACAGACCGAAGGTGACGTGAGACGTATAGACTGGAGCTGATGGATAGAGTGGAGACACCTGGGCAAAATGACAACAGCGAACAAAACAGTGCAAAGTACTGAGGATGGATGGAAACTCAGGGAGACCAAACATGAAAATAAACCACAAATCAAAAAAAACTGGAAAACACGAATCATAACAGCACGGTTCTTCACCGATTTTCTAAATCAAGTTTCAGGAAAATGAGACGATCGTTTCATTTTGAAACGCATTTCTGTGTCAAACTACAAATTAGTAGTTAAGAAAAAAATGATAATGAATGTAATTTTAAAAGTACTAAACTATTCATGTAAAACACAACCGGATTTGACAGGAGGAGGCCTCATCGCTAAATTTTAAAGTTTCTTGTAAGGATTTAAGAAACGTACAGATTTAGATTAAAATACATGTTTGAGACATTTTCTTCTCCAGGAATCGAAAAGACAAAAATATCCACCTAACTTGATGGATCCCAAAACTTTGAGCACATCTTTAACTGTATATTATTATTTAACGGTATTTCTTGATGGCTCTGCTCGGTATAAAGCTCGTTTCCTGCGACCTCTCACCTCAAACAAAAACTCTGCTGGATTGTTTATCTTCCATCGTGTCCGTCAACTTCTGTCAGTCGATTCAGACGGTACAAGCTCTTTAGAGAAACGAGTTATTTTCTTGGCAGGGTTTTCAGATTCTGTTGCTGCTCCGGTAAAGTGGCGCTTCGAACAGATCTGAGCCACTGAGGGAAGAGATCTGCAGAGAAATCTTCTTACGGCTTTAATACGTTTCTACTGAAGGGCATTGAATGATATTACGCTGCTGCAGCTCCTTTTTTCCGCAGGCGGTTGTTTAATGTCTGCAAAATAAAAACCAACAAATAGGTTCAAAGATTATATGATGAGTTCCTTCACAGAACGGCCTAAGTATTTGCTAACTTACACCAGTAACTAAATATTGGGCTTGAAATAACCCACTGAAGTGTAAAAAAAAAAAGCTCATAAATCAATCATCATGAGCTAAACCTTTAATCAAATGTACGTTTGACATTCGGCTATTCATTAATGACTGAGAAAACCATACAAATGAAAACCAACTTCCTGCCGTGAGAAACGCTTGGAGATGAATGTTTCATTAACACTCCGACTAATTAGGTGTCGGCTGAAGGCAAAAGGTTTCCACGCCGCTTCGCAGACTATCAGATTCGCCCTCGGCTTTAGACTGCGACCACAACGTGCTGCCGTTTCACTTCAAAGGGGGAAAAAAACGGTAACAAACGGATGTGTAGTTAAAAAAATAAATAAATCAGCTTTTGGATCCACGTTAGACAATTCTGGATTCTTTCAGTCCAGTTTTGTCACTTTCAAATCAGAATCAAATCTCTACCTCATGTCCAACTATTTAAACCAACACATAATAAATAAAGGCCTCGCATTCTTTAACGAATGCAAATCACCCAACGCAGTTTAAGACTAAAGCTACGTTCACACTGCAGACAAACATGACCCAAGTCCTGTTTACCCATATATGGCCCATTTTTGATTTTGTATGATGGTCTGAACTTGACAAATCTGATTTTTATTTATAATACAGCTTGTGGATTATAACTGTCTTTGAGTCTTTTTGTGCGCGATGGCAAACTCCTGTGTCGTCTGCCTGAGGGTAAGAGATGGAAAAGTCCTTGTGCTGGGTGGGTGTGGTCCTTAACGATGCTGCGTGCTTTACACAGACATCGGTTGTAGTAGATGTCTTGGATGGTGTGGAGACTGCGACCAGTGACGTCCTCCGCTGTTTGCACCACCCTCTGTAGAGCTTTCTGGCTCCAACCTTTCTTTAACTGGACAAACTTGTTTTTACTCAAACTGAAAACAAACTCGTTTTTTTTTTTTTTTAATGTTTCCATGTTATTTCATTGATTTCTGCTCTTTTAAGGTCTCTTTTTGTATGTTTTTTTTTATCCACTCAGAGTGGCTGTTTTTTCTTCTGTCACTCAGACTTACAAAGTGTTTATTCCTCAGACACCAAACCAGCCCTTTTCATCTCTTTGCCTCCCCCTCAGTGTAATTGTCTCTTTTTGTTTGTCTTCCCACAGCATGGCAGCCAATGGAGCCCCTCTCCCTGTTCGGTGTGTGTTTGCTCCACAGGGAGTGTGTCCTGCAGCGCTCGCTCCTGCCCCCAGCCCACCTGTTTGGAGGATCAGAGCCTGTTCATCCCTGCAGGGGAGTGCTGCCCCAGGTGTGGTCGAGATGGAGGTGAGGGCTGCTTCAGGAGCGCTAATAATTTCACTAACAGACTCTGTTTGGTGGAGTTTTATTTTATTTTATCCAACACAGCAGCTCTGTTTTGTAGATCATTTTAGAATATCAGTGGAGATGTAACCGTAGTACACAGATTATAAACATTAATCTGAAAAACAAACCAATACAAAAATAAAATCCTAAACTTCCACGCTCTAAATTACAACTTAGGGGTTCCATCCGTCCAACTGACAGATAGACGAGCCAGCCAACCATCCATTCAAATATTCAACCTACCAACCAACTGACCAACCCTCAACCCTCCATCCATCAATCCATAAGACCGACCGACCAGCTAACCAAAAAACCAACTAATCAACCATCCATCCATCCAAA